TATTTGTTCGAATCTGAATTGATACCATGGTAGTCAATGCCGTGAACGATGAGTGTTCGCTCTTGATCTATGTGGATTAGGGACTCAATATTTTTATATTTTATAATATTTTATTCTCTTAATCTTATATTATTGTATAATATTAAATTTCAAGAGTTATTTAACTCGAGAGGTGAGTTGGTCTAACTTTTATAAAAAAAAATAAATTATATGATTGTATAGTAATTCGAGTTCGATGTTCAATCCCATTTACTTATTAAAAATCAAAATATATGAGCGATTTGATCCTAGCTCGAGTACTGTCGATAAGCTTGCACGTAATTTTACTTGCGTTTATTTTTTTTAAAGGAAAAAAAAGTTATTTTGGTAATTACATTTTTTTTAACTCGGAAAAAAAGAAAAGAAAAGAAAATTAAAATAAAGTATTTGCCTCTTCTATTTTTCTCTGTTTGCGCTCGCTCGTTCGCGCCTTCGTTTACTGTATGGTTAGGGTTTGGCGCTGAGTGAGTGCAGCGATCACCAGCGGATTTGGCGAACAATATCTTCTATTGAATTCTTCCGTATCTCTCAGCGTCGATTTCCCGCTTCCTGTTCTCATAATATTCTTTAATCTTTTCAACGTAGTTGAGGAATTCAACTGGGATAATTGGGCTGCTTGCCGGAAGGCTTGCGGATTCTGTCTGTTGTGTACTGTCAATTTTTAGGTAAACTCGACGAATTGCGCCTGTCTGGTAAGTTTCATCGAATTTCTTCCGGTTCGAGTTCGACCTTTATGATTGCTTTGATTCTGTTCTGCAAGCTCAAAATTCGAATTGACAAGAAATGTTATTGTTTGCGTACTTTGAATTTTTTTTTGGGTTCTTATTTCATTATAGATTTTTCCATGTTGCAGTTACTGAACTCCCATTTCGCACTTGATATGCATCTAGTTGGTATACTTTGGAAATGGCAAATCGAAGTTTAGTGTGGAACGTTGCGAAGAAATGTTTCACACTTGGAATTATTGGCGTTACGATTTCGGATCGTTATGCGAGTGTTGTCCCTATCCGGGGTGCTTCAATGTCTCCCACTTTTAATCCTAGAGCCACTTCTCTGGCAGGACCAGTTAGTGGTAATTTTCTAAAGGTTGCATATTTGTTTTAGCGAGGACTTGATACCATCTGATGCTTGGGTTTGGTTTCAGATGACTACGTGCTGGTTGAGAAGTTTTGCCTTGATAAGTTTCAATTTTCTCCCGGTGACGTGATTGTTTACCGGTAAGTTTCCCTCCTGCGCCTAATTTCGTTATCTGCATTGTCTTGTTCTGGACACTTATATTGTGTTTTGTGGTATTGGCTTGATTTAGTTCCTCTTTTATTGGATGGTGAAGGCTGCTCTAGATTAAGAAAGAAAATGGCCTATGTAAACCCACATTATCCTTTCCATCGTTCTCTCTCAAATTATATAGTAGTATGATCCAGTGCATTGTATGTAGATAGTCTTGCTCGATTGGGATTGCTCAGGGTTTGAATCTTAATGAGTTGAGGCTAGATAATTTAAGATTTGGATTGGCTCTTCTTGGTTGACTTTTGAACATTATTAGTTTGTAGGCCCATTTGATTAATCATCGCTGAGAGATCACATTTGGACTCCAATTTAATAACTTCCAAGAATAAAGACAGAGAACTCAAAAGTAAGAAAAACTCAATTCCATTACTTGCAATTTGCATAGAACGAAATGATTACTCTTTGCATTTGCGTATTCAATATGGGGGTCAAGTTTTGTGGCCTCTTTGTAGTCCTTTGGGGCAATTGGATCAAGAGGAATAAGACCTTTTAGGGATCGTGAGAGACCTTGGGAGGAGGTGTGGTCACTCTATTTGGACATCGTTTTCCAAGTATTTTTGTACTTATCTGCTAGATCTAATTATTATGAACTGGAGATCTTTTTTTTTCTTTGTTTTTGTATAGCTAGGTGGTTGCCTTCTCTTAGTGTGCAGTATTTTTGTGTGTCCTTTTGTATTCTTTCATTTTGTCTCAATAAAAGCTTGTTTCCTCATGAACAAAAATGGTCATTTTTTGTGAAAGAAATAGTACGAATTATATTTACGTCGTCATATTTGAATTAATCGAAGGTAATGGATAGCATAGTGATCCATCTCGCTCCTGAATTGTAATAGTCTTGATGATGTAATTGGTAAATGTATGTGATTGAAAGCATGCCAAGAGTGTAAGATAGATAAAAAGCCTTCATTGTTTCCTGCGCTGTTTAGAGATTGTAACCTCCAAGTCCTCTTCTTCCCAAATTTACCGCACCCCAAATTTTGACAGTATTACAACGTAACTGTGGTAATTTCCCAAATATTGAGCACCTGATAAAGAAATACTAAGCTCCAACTCAAGAACTAACAGTTAACTTCAAATTACCTGAATATAAAGAACTCTTTCAAGCTTATCCAACTTTAACAAAATTTCTAAGAACAAGCCAACTTCCAAACAATGATACAACTCAAATGCCAGTCCCAAAATGAATCATCAACACTGAACAGTAACTCAAACCATAAATGAACTAACCAACTCGTACTAATGTAAGTTCCCAACTAAAACCAACTATTAAGAAGATAGAATAACTAGCTAATGGTCTCAAAATTTGGTGGTGAGTTCATCATAATGCATACTCAGTAAGTGGCTCACGCATGAGGAGTCATCAAACAACATACAACCTAGAAAACAAACATAATGCTTCTCTCATACAACTAAACATGCTCTTTGCACATAAAACAAGTAAAACATTCAACATGCTCAACACTTGCATCAATACATCATGTCATGTGCACTCAATCCTCACGCAAGGTCAACCAGCTCATTTGACTCCACTGAGTCACTCAACACTAATATTTAGCTCTCACAAAGCTACATGAGACTGACTCTTTCGAGTTATGTCAATGGTCTACCACCCTGACCATTTTTACCTGAGGCACAATGGTATTTACCCAACTTTTCTTCATCACACACAAGGTCCTCTGACATCGTACAATCTCACTAAAATGCATTATCCTACACAACCATCATGCCTTTTCAGACAATATCAGCATTTCAGCATGCTCATCACAACATAGTCAACAAACAACAGGCTCAAAAATTATCAAAGGTCACATTTCATTAACTTAAGTCACATATCCACCACAAACACAATATGTTCAACATCTCAAAAACACCACATAACCTATCACAACACGATATTTCAGCATGCTTAAACACTCAAGGAGACATAATAATTCAAAGAGACATGCTTCACATGATGTAGTTAGAAAAGTTGGTAGGCACACACCAAACAACTCCACAAGTGGAAACTACTAACTTAAAGTGCTCCTAATATAATCCAGTAGATTCCTACGCAACAAGTACAAGGCTTAGTGGTCAGAAATTAGTTTGACGACCTTAATTGAAATTGAAAGAGTATTTAGGAGAGGCGTCCTTACCCAAAATCACTCTTAAACTGAGTTCGAACAATCCTGAACTGAACTGAATCCTGAAACAAAATGTATTCACTGGTGTGGGTTTGTGGCTAAGGTGTCGTTGAGGATAAAATTTACTCTCAGAGACTTGAACAATTTGATTAAAATTTCCTTCCCTAAATCGTTGACCTATTGCAGATCCCCTAGTAATTACAAGGAGAAACATGTGAAAAGAGTTATTGCCTTACCAGGAGATTGGGTTGGAACTCGTCAAACATATGACGTTGTAAAGGTTCCAGAAGGACACTGTTGGGTTGAAGGTGATAATTCAGATTGCAGCATGGACTCGAGATCTTTTGGCCCGGTAAGATACCATCTTCTATAGTTAACATTCTGTTTCTTTTGGGTCGTGCTATTAGTTTTGAGATGCAACCAGAGTTTATGTGGATTGGTAGCCTCGATGGATCTTTAATTCTTCATGTAACAATTGTTGGGAATTGAAAAAACACAGGTGAAAGTATCATACGAAAGAGCATTAAGAAAATATAGATAATTAATTTACTGTTTCCAGAGAAATACTTTACTGCAAGTATCTGAGATTTGAGTTCAACTCCCTTTTTACTGCTTTTGAGACATGTCTAGCCCAGCCTGACTGAACTAAGCCTTTTGCTGGCAGATACCAATGGGTTTGATTCAAGGTAGGGTGTCACATATTGTATGGCCACCTCAAAGAATTGGTGCCGTTGAGAGAATATACCCTCAGGGGAGAGTCAAGTCCTACTGATAATACCAAAATTGAAGGTAGAGAACAGTTTTCCATGATCGAATACTCCTATTTGTGGTCTTTTACATTAGGTAGAAATTTTTTAGACCTGGAGACCTTTTCTGCGGTGATTTCTATCTATCACTTTCGGTTATGTTATTTTTTCTTCATAACATACATTATTTTCATTCTTGGGGTATTTTCAATGTAATACCCGTATCCGGAGGAACCTGTATTTCAGTAACGATTGAACTTAACCTCACGTATGCACGAATCCCGTCGCTTAAGTTTCCTGGTAAAATCAAATGGAAAAATCTTACTAGTGCCCTATCAACTGGAATTTTGGGAGGAGAATCGTAAAAGATAGACAACCAGTAATTATCAAAAACCTTTGCAGAGTAAATTCATATTGCAGCTTCTCGTTCAACTTTGATTTCTAGGACTTGGGAGGTTTGGTTGGTTCAAGCTGATGGAGGAACCAAGTGTGTTTTTCTTAGTTTATTATTATTTTTTTAATTTTTTAATTTTTATTTTTGTTTATTAGCTTTTCCTCTATACATTTTATAAATATAATCGGGAATTATTATTATTATTATTTATCTATTTTTAATCGAAATCGACTTCAAGATTAAATTTGAAAGTTTTTTTTTCCGAATATTTAATAATTTTTTTTCCGAATAAGAGGACATATTTAATAATAAAATAGAAAAACGCCTTTTTTTTATTAAATAAAAGTATTTTATGGGATATATATATATATATATATATATATATATATATATATAAACAGAACAAAGAAAAAAAAAATAGTAGTATTTCCTTGTTTTTATTTAAAATTAATTGGATAATGACGTCATCCGAATTTTTTGGACGTCATGGAAACGGTTGAATTACGTAAGATTTGAAGGGTTTAGGGCATTGATGACCACCTTATGTATTTCTTCATCTGACAAAAAGAAAAAAAAAAATTGATAATTTGGGCAGGACTATTCAAAGGACACATAAATTAGGAAGTTTAATGGTGCTGCTGCCTGCTGCTACTTCAGGAACCCATTGCGGCCAAAACACAATCATTCTGTCTCTCAAGGTTGGGGGAACAAATATCGACTGATCCTTGTGTTTGTGCCTTCTTAAACTTGAGATAGGAGCTTCTTATTTTCTGCAATTCGTCAACAACCATATTCATGGACGTTCTTTCTCGAGGCACAGTTGAAGAGCATGATAACCCAATTCTCATTATTGAAACTACACATTCCTCCATCCATCTTGGTACAGTTTCTCTACCATGATTATCTTCACCCATCATTATTGCTATTTCTTGTATTCTGTCTTCCTTCTCTTCTTCTTGACAACGTCTTTCTTCATATAGCAAATAAGGGTCAATTATGGCCAACGCTCCATGAGACAATGCCATTGAAGTGAACATGTGAATATCTACGCCACTGTGAAACGTGCTGTCTGTGGGTCTTTTTCCAATGATCATCTCCAATAGTAGTATTCCGTAGCTGAAAATATCTCCTTCACTGGAAACTCTACCCCCAGTGGCATACTCTGCAAGCAATTCCTCATCCATTATTATACGTATAGAAAATCAAGATCTAAAGGAGTTTGGATGGAAGAAAAATACCTGGAGGGATATACCCGATCGACCCCTTAAGCGCATGTGACATGGTTTGGCTGAAAGATGATTGATCATTTGAGCCTTCCAACATGAATCTTGCTAAACCAAAGTCCCCTACATGGGCTACCATATCATCGTCCAGCAATACATTGCTAGGCTTTAGATCACAGTGAACAATAGGTGTTTCGCAATGATTGTGAAGATAATCTAATGCACAAGCAATATCAATGGCAATATTCAGTCTCTGGATAAGACTCAGCCTTCTTTGATTCTCCCCTTGATTTGTAGGGTGAAGCCAATGATCCAGGTTACCGTTCGACATGAAATCGAAAACTAGAGCTTTAAACTCATTGCCTTGTCCATCGATGCTCGAGACAGAAGCTATGATCTTTAGTAGATTTCGATGTCGTATATTTGCGAGAGTTTTGCATTCATCAACAAAACTTTTGGAAGCACCTTCTTGTTGGAGGTTTACAACTTTGATTGCAACAATCAATCCATCATTTGACAGAGAACCTTTATACACAGAACCAAAACTACCTGAACCAATCAAATTGTCTCTAGAGAACCCATTAGTTGATCTACTGAGTTGTAAGTAAGAAACTTGCAATACAAAATCCTTGGAGTTGGAAGATGAATTCAAAGCATTCTTCCTCGACTTCTTAAGCATTAAACACACAAGAAGGATGCTCAAAATAATAATGGCAGATGCGACTGTAGATATTGTACAGGCTAACACTTTTTTTGTCAGAAATTTGTTGGATGAATGTGTTGGGTTAGGCATGCATGGAGGTAAATGCAAGTGTTGCAAACCACCACATAGGTCATTATAGGATAGATTGAGATACTTGAGTGAGAGAAACTGGTCAAGAAATTGGGGAATTGGCCCAGACAAGTTGTTGCTTGAAAGATCAAGTGCTTCTAGACCTTTCAAAGCTTCCAAAGATTGAGGAATTGTTCCCTCAAATAGGTTATGATCCAAAAACAAATGAATCAGGCCAATACATTTACCAAGGTCTTCGGGAATATTTCCTGATAACATGTTCTCTGACAGATCCAACTCAGATAAACTAATTAATTCTCCCACTTGAGCTGGTAATGGACCAGTAAGTGAGTTCTGAGCCAAGGCCAAAAAGAGTGAAAGGGAAGGGAGACTGAGAACTTCCTCGGGTATGGTACCACTTAGCTTATTATTAGATAGGTCAAGAGCTTGAAGTCTTTTGCATCGTCCTAAGCTTGGTGGTATACTTCCATCAAGTTCGTTATCATTCAAACGAAGCTCGATGATCAAGGACAAGTTACCAATGGATGATGGAATTGGCCCACTTAGTTTGTTACCTTGCAAATACAATTTGGCCAAGTTTTGAAGCTTACCAACATTGAGAGGGACACTACCATTCAAGTAGTTATTTTCCACAGTGAAAACCTGCAAGTTAATCAAGTTTTCAATCCCTACTGGAAGGCCTCCACTTAACATATTTTCACCTAAGGTTAGGCTTGTGAATTGGTCTGACAAGTTGGTAATAGATGGAGGCAATACTCCACCAAAATGATTCCCAGCAGCACCCAGTATGCTTAGACTGGTACAATTAGTCAAGGAACTGATAAAACTTAAGTCACCAACTTTCCCAGTTCCAAGTCTATTGTCATCAAAATTTAGTAACACCAAGTCGTTTAAGTTCCCCAAGTCCTCAGGTATTTTACCAGTGAAATTATTCTCAGAAAGATCTATTTCTTGAAGACTTGAGGCATTCGCAAAAAACGCGGGAATAGGCCCGTTGAAATTGTTGATAGCACCATAAAAGATCTGAAGATTGGGAAGAGAAAATCCGTTATTTGGTGGTACTAGGACTTGCAATCGATTCTGAGTAACAGAAAAATAATTCAAAGAAGTTATATTATAGATTGAAAGCGGCACTGACCCTGTGAAGTAGTTTCCATAAACTGAGAAGAATTTCAATCTATGCAGACGTCCAACTCCATTGGGAATGTCTCCTCGAAAGTTGTTCTTTGCGAATGACAAACGAAGCATTGAAGAAAAATTACCTATCCAAGGTGGGATAGTTCCAGTCAAATTGTTGACACCAAACCCGAGAAGCTCCAACTTGGTTAACGTGAAGAATTGGGATGGAATTTGACCTTCAAGCCTATTGGCACCAATTGTCAGAACAACCAGCTCAGTGCAATGACTTATATTCACTGGAATCTCACCACTGAAGTTATTAAAAGACAAATTGAGATGACGCAATCGTAGCAGTCGACCAAACTCTTGGGGAATTTGGCCATGCAAGTTGTTGTCTCCCAATCTGATTTCAGTGAGATAAGTAAGATTACCCAGAGAAGGTGGTATCGAACCACTCAGCTTTCGAGCTTCCAAGCTCAAACCCACTACTCTTCTGATGCTTTGATCGCAAGAAACGCCAACCCAATCGCAAAAATGCATGGAATCGTTCCAAGCACTCATGATTCCAAGTGGGTCGTTGAATACTTTACTTTTGAAGTCAAGTAGAGCCAAGCGATCCGATTCATTTCCAGAGGTTGGTGTGTATTTTGCCAAACCTGATATCATAGACATCTGAAAGATATTATACAAAAATATACACAGAATCCGCTTCACATTGCTGCGAGTGTTCCCCATCCTGATTTCTGATAACAAGAAAGAAAAAAGAAAACAGTGAATTTATCAGTTTACTTGCAAGGATAAGCTTACATGGAATTTATAGGCAATGGCATCTTTGAGTGGTTGGTGGCTCTGAATTTTGTTGAGACGACTCCATTATCTTAGCTTTGGATCCCACTGGGCAGAAGACTAGTAATAGTAATTCTTCTCAAATATCTTAGGCTTCAGCTCAGGAGATGAATAGTAGTAAAATGAGATCAAGTTAGAAACATATATATTTTTTAATTTAAAAAATATTCATGTTCTACCGTTACTCGACGAGTTCTCTATCTAAATACTTCTGTACAACACAGATAGATAAAGTAGTTTAAAATTAAAATTCATTTGAGTTTACCATTATTATTATCGTAGAAATTATTTATTTGATTCTAAAAATATCACGAAGTCAAGGTCAATGTCATGGTAGAATAAAGCTACAACAATCAAAATGCATTTATGAAAGAAAGCAAAGCATGAAGTCAAGCCAACGGTTTAAAGTCTATGGGGCAATAAACATGGCGTGTGGAAGGGGAGGCAAAAAAGAGAGGGACGGGGCTAAAGGTTTGAACCCAAAATTTGGTTCAAATAGATTAAAATTGTTTGGACTATTTCATGAGTGACTTAATTATACTATATATAAAATTGTATTTTAAATCTCGATAAACATGTACAAGTTTAGAAAAATTAAGGAAATTGATTAAAAGGATGTGGATTTGATGTGAGTATAAAGATTTGGCCAGAAGTGAAGAATCTGTTGTTTCTAAAGCTTCCTCTGTTTTTGGTGAACTTTTCTTACCGTTTAATTTCTATTCGGATCTTAGCTTTGGGTTCTTTACCAATGGAGGTGGAGATTTCTCCATTTTGTTATATCGTCGCCCGAGGTTGCCTGAATCTGGTGAACTGAAGAAGGGCTTTTAGTTTGATTTCCAATTATAACTTAATTGAGAGTTATTGACCTACCCATGGTTAATGATCATGGAAACTATAGCAATTACAAAATAATTTTCTGTTTGGAAATAAAACAGGATAATTACGAAATAATTAAGAAGACAACACCAACATGAGGAGTCGGAGCCAGATATTTACTTATACTTTTCCTAGCATTTTTTTTCTATCTTGTTTTTTTGTTCGTCTAAATTGAGTGAGTTGTGCAGCAGTAACATATAGCTTCAAAACCTTTTTAATTCAATTCCAACCACCCATAATTTTATTACTAAATTATTTCCCATATATCGTAAGCTTTACAAAATAAAAAGTATTTTTAATGAAAACAATATGATAAATGTATTCAATTAATATAAACACAATAAATATGTTTTGAAGAATTCTTTTTTTCTTATTAAATCTTCTCAACTACTATTTCGTAAATGAAACTAATTATAGAACCTATATAAATAGTCTTATGTTTTTCTATTTGAATCTGAATAATATTTCGTCCTACCTCATCACTTGAACAAGCTGCATTTTTGTAAATTAAACTGTGTACCTTATTTTGGTTCCTCTGAGATATATGAGCACCAAACATGTCAGCATGTATGTTTCCACAATGATAAGCCATACCTGCAGAAAAACAACATGGAAAACAGATAAGGGAGGAAGCACCTTGATGAATTCTAATTCAAATAACCAAGTAAACGAACCTGCAAGTTATATGCTTCGAAGTTAATCCTCAATGTTGCACAAAACTTACAAAATTTGGTCAAGAACATAAGCTGATATATAGTTATCATCCCTTCTGGTTTAATTCCTGTTGCCATCATTTCTTAATTCAACGTTCTTTGCCTTCATTTTGCCCGCATCAGATATTATAATCCACTAAACTTTTTGTTTGGGATATGGAGCCTCATAAATAGTAAAAAATATGCCAGAGATATGGCTTAATGCATAATAAAAGATATGGTAGATATTTGTAAAGATGGACAGAAATATATACGGGAGATATTTCGTAAAGACTTAGTAGAGATTTTGACAGAGATATAGATTATATTTGGTAAACAAAAACCATATATATACACCTTGTATATAGCTAAAGTCATCAATAAAATCTTTACTAATATTTCTGCTTAAATTTTCTCCATTTTCTATTCTTTGGGCTCATCTTGATGAATGGTTGTGCAATCCTAAACTTTTCCCCTCCTTTTTCACCCTTGAAGAGGTAATTACAGAAATTTTCTGCAGCAGGTCAACCCAAACTGTAATAGCTGAGTTATTTCATGAAGTGACAATCTTCCCTCCACAGAGAGAAGATTGAGACTTCAACGCTTTCATCCTCTCGACCGTTGGATCAATATAACTAAAACGCCACCTTTGTGATAAGCATTCGTCATTATACTTAAAAATTTAGATTTGACCTTTTCAATTCTATTTCCTTCAGTTGACTTCACGATAATCTGATCAACCTCATCCAGCAGACCAAGCAAGCAACCTGAATAAATTAATTTTGCTTGGAGTTATGTCTTCCTCCATTGGTGTAATCGCCAAAAAAGATGTCCTAATCATGAGTTTTTTCAAATAGCCTCATTAAGCATATCCCAAACTTCACATCTTGTGGGAAGAACCTCCAGAAAGAAATGTCTGAAAGGTGTACTGTATCACCCATATTGCCAACCATCTTGCTTGCTGCCATCATCATCTTTCTATGTGGAGATGGCATAATCTACAAAGCTTCGATTCGAACAGTATCCATAAATGAGAACAAAAATTCAAACTCAACAATTACGTGTGTAACACAAGAGCCACTGAAGTCCTCGCCAGAAAACAGAGAAGAAGATGATGATAGTGGAACTTTTGATTCCTTGATAGTTCCATTCAATCTTTCAGGAAAAAAGGCAAGAATTGATTGGTTTAGGAAACACCTTCCCGACTTTCGAATTTTGCAGTCAAACAATTTCACGCAGCAGTTCCATAATCGACTTCAGGAGTTTCTCAGCCATGATTGTGAGACACAATTCTTCATGACATGGATATCTCCAACAAGGACTTTCAGAAGAAGAGAACTACTGGCAGCAGAAAGCATTTTCAAGTCTCACCCCCGTGGATGCTTAACTATTCTATCAAGAACGCTGGATTCAGAAAGAGGCTACAAGATTCTTCAACCTCTACTTGATCATGGGTTTAAAATTCTGGCAATCACACCGGACTTGCCTTCTCTATTCAAAAACACCCCTGTTGAGACTTGGTTTGATGAGATGAAGAGAGGAAAAAAAGACCCAGGTCAGATTCCATTAGCTCAGAATCTATCTAACCTGATGAGACTTGCAGTCCTATACAAGTACGGAGGTGTTTACATAGATACGGATTTTATTGTCTTGAAGTCTTTCATGGGCTTGAAGAACTGTATTGGCGCTCAAAGTATTGATCCGGTATCTAAGAACTGGACTAGACTGAATAATGCTGTTCTTGTTTTTGATAAGAAGCATCCACTTCTAGAGAAATTCATGGAAAATTTTGCATCGAATTTTGATGGGAGCAGATGGGGATATAATGGACCTTTTCTGGTCTCCAGAGTAATAGCAAAGGTAACCGGAGCCGGAGCTAGACCAGGTTTTAACGTCACCATATTGCCTCCTGCAGCATTCTACCCAGTGGACTGGACCAAGATTGGTGAACTTTTTAAGAAGCCAGGAAACCGAGCTTCTGCAAATTGGGCAAAAGCAATGCTAGCTCAGCTAAATGACGAGGCTTATGGAATACACCTATGGAACAAGCAGAGTAAAAGCTATACCATTCAGAAGGGAAGTGTCATAGAAAGATTAGTTTCTGCTCACTGCATCATTTGCAAATACACTTAGAATTAGGGAAAGCTCTACGAGAACAAATGTAAAGATGCATGAAAAACTACAATTTATTTAATACAGTAACACCGAAAATCTTCATCGAGAATAAAGTGAAAGCATTTTCCTCACAAGAATCGTAAAGAGATCATGACTTAATTGTATCTCCTTCATCCAAATTCCCCAAATTAAAGCATTCATTTGCTAGGCGTTTAAGAGTTTGAATCTTCTCCATTGTATTCATTAACTTATTTTCTACAATACCATGATTTGAAACAATCACTCTCTGATTCTTTTTCAACCCAGTCTCTCTCTAAAGTAGTAGGAAAAAAGTAAACGGCACTTTAAAGGACAGTAGGCACCATGTTTGGATAATTATATCAGAAGTCTACAAGAATCAGTCGGAAACTATAGGTTCAATTGAATTAAGTGGTTGGATTATGCGAGCAAATACACCATGAACAAGTAAAATCATATCAAACTAATTCCAAAATTAAAGAGAAATAACGTTAAAAAAACTGCTTAGCTGGAGAATATCGACTCGTCAAAACCAATGTCAATTAACTCGTGGTCATGCTATTTTATCTTTCTTTGGAGGAGACACAGCAACAACGAGTACGAGTACTCCTCGCCCGAAAGCCCCGCCTACGAATTTTTGCATTAGAAAAACAAAAGTCCAAACAGCATGGGCCACGAGAAGAATATTCAACTAGAAAACTCAACTAATTCAGGAAAGCGACACCAAAATAAATAAACAACGAACTTGCGTAAATTTCCACACCAATGATTAAATCGCTTTCCCTCATCGCTACTTCATCCCCTCCACCACAACAAAATGAAACTCAAGTAAGCGAAAACATGAATGAAAAAACGACACACGAAAGGCACAAGTCTATTAATGGATATTACAAACAGAAACACCAGAAGGAATGAAATTCGTAGAAAAGGAGAGATCAGAAATTGAAGGAAAAAGATGAATTCCTTGTGTTTCTGATCAAGAATACGAAGCGCAAACCAGCAATGAGAAAGATAGAGATAACGACAGAAGCAATCGAAAGCGGGAACTGTAGAAGCGGACGCCATTACTGAATCACGAAGCTACATAAAAGAACAGAGATCAAAGAAATGTAAAATTTTGGCGGGCCGATGACCTTTTATATCAATATAATAATATTGAGAAGGCTTTTAAAAATTAAATAAAATATTTCTCTCATTATTCAAGGCCAGCGCGGCCCATTTAGTGGGCCGAATAAAAATAGGCCCATCATATAGTGGGCCAAATAAAAATAGGCCCATCATCTAGTGGGCCAAATCCACAGCTGTATTTCTCCAAATGGGCTTTTGTAAACCTTTTTAAATTATTTAAAAGGAAAAAGACAATATTGTAATGAATTAAATTAAATAAGGTATTTGGAGATCTGAGTCAAAAATTAATCAGCGGGGTCAAAAGGAGCAGTCCAGTCCAGTCCAGTCCAACCCACTCACTTGTTATTCTAATAATAATATTTATTATATAATTTAATCAAATAATTATAATTAATCAATCAAAATTTGAAGATCCGGTGGATTAATTGAACATGTGGGAATGCATGTGCAAGCCACGTGCGAACCATGTGACAATTTGGTAGTTCAATTTCCATTACCAAATGGAATAATAATCAAGCTTACAATATTTATAACTTTCTCCATTTAATTAGAATGAACCAGATAAGATTCTTTAAACAAAGTATTAAGTGAGGTACAAGTATTATGATATAATATACTTAGCTAAATTTGAGCCATTAATTTGACTGGATTGAAAAATCTAACACACTCGAGAGAGGGCGTAGGCAAAAAGCTATCGATTTTCACCCATTGGTATGATACAAAATATGGAGTGAACAAACGAGGACAAGGGCGAGGTTTAGTGATGAGGGGCAGCAGCAACGGTGGCTGCCGATGGCGGAGCCTTGCATTGGTAGCATTTCGCAAAGAGCCCGAAGGTGTCGACTTGCCTGACAAAGTTGGTCATGCTAGCCCATCCTCCGAACCCGAACCCAACCACCAAAACCCACGCCACCACGAACGCGTTCAACGCATACATTCCGACCCAACTCGGGAGGAAGAATGGAGGCTTCTCCGCTGCATTCTGCAAAGGACGAAAACAACAACAAATTTAAATAATATTCCCCAAAGTATATTAGATTAATATTGTTTTTACCATAAGGTACTTATCTTGGTTTATTAACGGTGACAGAGACCAAGTCGTTCCAATAACTATATGAAAAGGACTTATCACCTATTTCAATTATCCGATAACATTTCTGTATCAAACCCATAAATGCTTTTCTACATTTAACATCAAATTTATAAGAATAATCAAATTAAAACATACATTTTGTTCAAACCCATGATATCATAATCCTATGTTTAGCTCAAACACTAAGTAGATATGTTACTTTCAGCTAAATTACACAAAAATGCACCTTAACTATATAGAGAGAAATGGATATGAATCACATGAGCAAACAAAGAAACAACCAAAAGACAAGCAGTGGGGGAAGCAAATGTCAGTACATGCAGTGTGGGGGCAGAGTGAAACAGTGGGATTTTGGTTAAGGGTTGATGAAATGCATTAAATTGAAGAGCTCAGGAATTCACCTGTCGAGCAGAGGCCTTTCTGTAAGTAAGCATATGAGCCAAGGCGGGGATAATATAGACTGTAAAGCTCACCAACAAAGCGCCAACGGCGGAGTTTATAGGCCCAAAGAAAGGGAAAATGATAGCCAAAAACCAAATAGGAATCACTACTGGTAACCTCGCAACAGCCCTTAAACAAATGCTTTTGGTATCATGCATTCCAATTACTTTCTCCCAAACGAAGTACAACGGCGTACAAGCGAAACCAAACGTAATAAACTGCACCCAGATAAACCCATGTCAGAATTTAAACGAATTTGTAAGAATTTCTCTCAGAGGACTTTTCACAAACACCTTCCGTGCAATATGGGGTTTTTACCTGATGGATCAACATGAGGATGACGGCGGCGTCGCGGAAGCCGGATTTGGGGAGGAGGGAGAAGGCGTTGGAGTGGTTGAGAAGCTGGTCGCCGAAGGCCCAGTAGACGGCGGTGGCTGACGGAATCGTTAAAGTGAAAACGTACAGAGTGGCCATCAAATAGATGTACTTGAATTTCTGCGGCTTCCACATGGCGTGCATAACTTCACTGATAACATTAGGGATTTTGGGGTTAAAGTTTTCGTTTTCAGATTTTCACAAGAGATTTTTTGTTCAAAAATTGCTTTAGGACAAACTCCAAGAAGCTTACACAGTGACGGCATGGCCTCCGAATGTGTAAAGAATGTTAGTGGCGCCAGTGAAGTACAGAACCAAACTCTTAGGTCCAGAGTGATGGACATTCTCCACCTAAAATTTGAACCAAAAAAGTTAAGTTCCCTTAAACAAGAAGGTGAAGAACAGAGCGACGGCGGCGGCGGCGGCGGAGGAAGTACCTGGCCGTGGACAAGGGCGGCAATGGCCATATACCAAGCGGTGTAAGTGGTCATTCCAAGCCCCAAAAACGACCAAATCCGGTAGTTATGGAAAGAAGGAATGAAAACAGTTGTAGCACAACAAGCTCCAAAAATGTAAGTCCATGTCCGTTTATCCAAATGGTCGTTGATGTAATAAATATTACTGTTGAAAAACGAACAAAATTCCTCAAAACAAAGCAAACCCAGATGAAATCAACGCTCAAAAATGATAAAAATGGCAAAATTTTGTAACCTTGCACAAGCAATAAGTTGAATGACTGATCCAAACAAGAGGAAAGTGCAGTTAAATGCAAGGCCAATGGCTTTCCAATACGGTCCCAATAAGCCATCAAGAACTTCAAACCACTGAATCACATGATTCTTGAAGCTCACGTTCTCTTTCTCCTTCCTACTTCGATATTCAATGTAAAGAACACTGATTAAATAAGCCGTCCAGCTACCCATTATTCCATAGAACACCTGAAACAGAATCCCAGAAAGCATTCCCAGCTGAGAAAATGAGTACGGAAGAGTTAACAGAACCTGCGCAACCTGCAAAAATTCAACAAAAAAAGTGTAAAAAACATGAAACAATTCGTGGGAAAGCTTTAAAAAATGGGTTTGATTTTGTTTCTTTACTTGATTAGAAGCGCAGCTGAACCAAGCATCCCATGAAGAACCGCCATGCCAGAGGAGGTTCTTGACACCGAACATGGCCTGAGAATCTTTGCTTTCTTCTTTCCCTTCATGCTCTGTTTCGTTCAAGTTGGAAACTATGGCTTCCTCTGCTTGTTTCTGCGGCAACATTGTCTTTGGTTTCTTAAAAAACCCAAAAAACCTGACGAAAAAACAAGACAGTAAGTGAGACATACGGAAGAAACAAAAAAAAAAAAAAAAAAAAAAAAAAAAAAAAAAAAAAAAAAAAAAA